TGAATATATCTGTTAAACCCATCTGGTCCAGTATGTCATTCAAAGGCACTGTTTCAACTGATTTTCAACTTAGATGACCTATTGATGTAAGTGGGGTATTAAGGTCCCCTACTGTAATTATATTTTTATCAACTAATTCCTTTATTAACTGTTTTATGTATTGGGGGCTCCCATGTTGGGTGCATAAGTATTTACAATTGTTATATCTTGTTGGATTATCCCCTTTTTTTATTATACAGGGCCCTTCTTTGTCTCTTGTTAAAGTCTTGATTTAAAGTCTATTTTCTCTGATATAAGTATTGCTACTCAGGCTTTCTTTTGACAATCATTTGCATGATAAATATATCTCCATTTCCTCACTTCAATCTGCAGGGGTTTTTAGGTCTGAAATGAATCTCTTCTAAACAGCATATAGATAAGTCTCTTTTTAAAAAATCTATTTTGTCACTCTATGTCTTTTGATGGGAGTGTTTAGTCCATTTACATTTAAGTAATTGCTGATAGATACATATTTATTGCCATTTTATTACCTGTTTTGTGATTATTTCTGAAGATTTTCTCTGATCCTTTCTTGTCCATTTAATGGTCTGCCAGTTTTCTTTAGTGATATATTTGGATTTCTTTCTTTTTATTCTTTGCATATTTATTAGTGATTTTTGATTTGTGGTTACCATTTGGTTTGTATATAATATCTTTTGCATATAGCAATCTGTATTAAGTTGATGGTCATTTTACTTTGAACCCATTCTTTCTTTACTCCTCTCCTTCCCATGTTTTAAGTATTTGGTGTCATATTTTACATCCTTTGTGTGTGGGTGTGTGGGTGTGTGTGCGCGCGTGTGTGTGTGAGGTCCTTGACTGATATTTTACAAAAATATTCATTTTTAACACTTTTGTGTTTCCTACCTTAGTACTGTCACTGTTGGTCTTTCCTTTCCACTCAAAGAGTCCCCTTTAATATTTCTTTCAGGGCTGGTTTAGTGGTCATGAACTCCTTTAGCTTTTGTTGTCCGGGGAACTCTTTATTTCTCCTTCTATTCTGAATGATAACCTTTCTGGATAGATTATTCTCAGCTGCAGATTTTTCCCATTCAGCACTTTGAATATACCATGCCATTCTCTTCTGGCTTGGAAAGTTTCTGCTGAAAAATCCACTGATAGCTTTATGGGTTTGTATGTAACTATCTTTTTTCTTGTTGCTTTTAATTTTTTTTTATCACTATATTTTGCCATTTTAATTATATGTCTTGGTGTGGATCTGCTTTTGTTGATTTTTTTGGGAAGTTCTCTGTGCCTCTTGGATCTGGATATCTGTTTCCTTTCCCAGATTAGGGAAGTTTTCGGATATTTTCTCTTCAAATACATTTTCTGCCTCCTTTTCTTTCTCTTCTGGGTCTCCTATAATGCTAATGTTATTGGATTTGATGGAGTCACTGAGTTCCCTAAGTCTAATCTCCTTTTGCACAATTCTTTTTTCTCTCTTTTGTTTAGCCTGATTATTTTCTATTACTCTTTTAGGTCTTGTTCCTCTGCTTCTTCCAGCCTGCTGTTCATTGCATCAAGCTTGTTCCTAATCTCATTCATTGCACTCTTCATCTCTGATTGGTTCTTTTTTTTTATCTCTGTCTCACTGGTGTCTTCCACTCTTTTCTCAGGTTCAGTGAATATCCTTATGATCATTGCTTTAAATACCCCATCAGGCATGTTATTTGTATCTGTTTCACTTAGATCTCTGGCCGTGGCCTTGTCCTTTTGTTCATTTGGGACAAATTTTTCTGTCTTCCCATTTTGTCTAAGTCTCTGTGCCTGTTTCTCTGTGTTAAGAAAGTCAGCTATATCTCCTGTTCTTCAGGGTAATGGCCTTACAAAGAGGAGGTCCTGTAGTGCCCTGCCATGGAGGGTCCCTTGTTCCCCAGGGCCTGGCACTTCCAGAAGTGTCTCCAATGTGTGCTGTGTGTGCTCTGCTGTTTTGTCCTAACTGCTTTATCCTTCAGGCCAGTCATCTACAGAGGCTTTCTTTGCCTGTTATAGGCAGTGTATGGTCCCTAGCCTGAATGTGGTGCGCTTTAACTAGGTGTGCTTTAGTGTGCTTGGGAGATAAGACCTGTCATCACTGTCGCCAGAACTGAGACTTCACAAAACTCTCGGGTTGGGAGATGCCATATGAGTAGGGGTTTTGGCTGGGCTTCTGTGCAGAGGGCCCACAGCACTGGGACTGAGGCAACCCAGACTGGGAAGAGGGGTTCACTAGAGCATGGTGGGGGGCGGGGCTTGGTGTAAGTAAGTTAGGAAACCAGTGTCCTGGCTTCTCACAGGTGGCCCTGTGCTTACGCTGAGAGTCAAGAGAGGGAAATGGCACATGCCAGTTCCTTTGTTCCCAGAGGGGTCTCTCCATAGATGCTGCCTCTCTGGGACTTGCTCTGAGATGAGCAAATAACCTCTCCACTGTGTGCCTCAGGCAGTTTTCAGATTGCTATTTCCAGTCTGTATGTCTGCAGGCTATTTACCCTGCCTTCTTTCCAAAGAGCAGCCCCAATGCCCCAGGGCTCTCATTGAACCAAGCTTGCTGATCTTCAGAAGTCTAGGCTTTAAGCCCCTTTCCTTGAAAAAGCACAAAATTTGGCCCCTCTCCTTTCCAAGCCATTTGCTATGGGATTTATTTTCCCCATGCACTCCCCTGTGTGCTAGTCTGTCTCTCACCCTTCTCTGCCACCACATTTCCCTCCCCACTACAGAGGTCAGCATCCATTTTTCTTCCAAACTGCATCTTTGCATTGCCTACTTTCTTCGATGAGGCCTCTTCTCTACCTTTATTTGTGGAGTTTGTTCTGCCAGACGTCAGGTCGATTTCTAGGGTATTTAGGATGATTTGATAGTTATCTTCTATTTCTGGGACAAGGCGAGCCTAGGGTCCTCTTAATCTGCTGCCACATTCCCACAGCCTACTCATTTTTTAGGATTGCTTTTTCTTAGTATTTAATGTATTTCATGCAATTGCATAGAGTTTTTTATTTGCTAGTGCATAAAAATGCAGTTGATGGCCATTTCTCTAAAATTTTTCCTAAATTCATCTATTAATTTGAATAATTTTCCAACAGATTCTTTGGATTTTTTCATTAATTCATTAGTTATATTTATTAGATTGATTAATATAAACTAATTTTATAATTGATCTATTAATTTCTTTCAAATCCTTATGCCTTTTATTTCTTTGTCTTTCCTTCCTCCATTGATTATTTGTGGCAGAATGTTAAATAATAAGCATATCCAACTCGTTTTCAACTTCAAAAGGAAATTTTCAACATTTCACTATCAAATGTGAAGCTTGCTGTAGAAGTCTGTATAAGTAACTTTTGCTTCACCTTTATTTTTGCTATATAATATTATAGGTTGGTTGTACTTTTCTTTCAGCACTTTAAAAACATCATTCCATTCTCTTTTGGCTTCTACTACACTGGATTGGAATGACTTATCTATATCTTAGTATGTGTTTCCAAATAAGGCCAGAGGCAGTTTTGATTTTAAACTAATTATACACAATAAGATTGATTTAATATACCATAAGATATATTATGACAAAATCGATAGCCTGCTTTTTGGCCTGTTTATCTGTATGCATGGAAACAAAATAAAATCTTCATTAAAAAAATGAGACTGTACTGTTGCTATTAGCTTATTGCTACTTCTTGTAAGTGTATGCAACCAGTAGAATTGTGATCTTTAAAATGTGAGATCCTGATTCTCTGGATCTGGGTAATTATTTCATTGGGACCTGTGACTCGTTTTTCCATTTTCTCTTTTTATGGCTCAATATGTACTTTATTTCTAGTCTAGAAAAGTAGGGATAGAGAGCCAAACAAAATAAATAATAAACACAAATTTTAAAGTATTGAAGGAAGTAAGTTTAAATTTCGACACACTGTTTACATATGCTTATGTGAAATGTATCAGATGCATCATTCTTTACCAAGTGTTTACAGTGAGTGCATATTCTAAACAGTTCCATTAACTAGTATGTTCATTTCTAACTTGATGATTTTGATTGTGATAAAACTCCAGAATCTGCTGCTATTCCAGAACATCCATTAAGCTTTCTTTGGGAAAGTGACATACCATTGATATAAACTAAATGTACGTTTTCTGTATTTCTATATGTACAATTTCCTGAAAGGAATGGTATTGATTACCCACTTGATAAACAATTATACTACAACAAAGATAAAAATCTTAAGAATGACTTATTTTTTTGCAGTTTTTCACAAAGTTACAATATAAATTCTATAATATGTGAATTCAGGAGTCACATTGCTTGGGTTTGTGTTGTGTTCTATCTCTTACTATCTGTCTGTCTGACTTTCTTCATCTGCAAAATGGGATTTATAGTAATTCTTATCTCAGAGCATTGTTGTAAGAATTAATAACATATTCTATGGCACACATTAAGTGCATAAATATTGGTACTGGTATTAATATTAATGATTGATAAATACTAAGCAATAGTAAGTATTTTTCTATATACTTCCTGCCATAAGAGCATTTTAAAATTGTGCAGGTGAATATATTTTCTGGCTAGGGTAGTATTTAATACACGTTTCTTTAAATATGCTGCGTGAGGAAAAGGACATAAACTTTAAGTACACAGTACATACATTCTGGCATATATTGTGAAGTGTTCAATGGCAAAGGAAAAGTACTCAAATATGTTTCATATTTTATTAAGTACTCAGAGTTACGGTCTATGTTTTGCCAAATTACTCATTACATTTATAGGTTTTCTTTAATAACCTTGAAAACCTTAAATTGCATTTAAAAGGCTTATATTTAAAATGCACGCTTGATTTTAAAAATGAGAGAAACCGCCACTCTGTTTAATTTAAAATATTGTGAAATTATAGTTTCAACTTTATTTTTAATAAGAACTATTTGATAAATATCTAAGTTTCACATATATTTTTAAAACATTATAAAATGACATAAAATGAAATAATTTCACTTCTTGCCTTTCATCCAGAAGAAATCCAATGGAGGTCAATGTCAGGATAATGAAGGCAACTCTCAGAAGGAGTGTGACCTGTGATAGTGCCTGTTGGGGAAAGACAGATACCAACAAATTCTTTAGGAGAGTTACTAAAAGGAGTATCAGAATTTAAAGCTGTCAAGAAAACCAGCCTCAGATTTTATTTTATATTATACCATTTGTCACTGACATTTTTCAAGAAGTTTAAATAAATATACAGAGGATATTTTGGTTTTCCTAATGTCATTTAATTATCTTGCTAGACACTTGGAGAATGAATTAGACACTTTCACAGAGATATTTTGCTTAAAGTGTTCTTTCTAAAAATTCTCCTTTATAGTTTTGACTTTCATAATTCTTTGAAACACCTATGGCCCCACATATGGAGAAATCACTTACATTTTTATGAATAAATAGCACATTCCAATAGCTATTTTTAATATCACTAATTCTTTGTGGTTTCAAACCCAAAACTGTTTTTAATATGGAAAATATTTAAAGGAGAATGTGTTTACGAGTGCAAACACATAAATGGAACATACTGTACAAATACATACTCATATTTGGTGAAATCTATAGGTTCATATGTACATGTCAAAAGTTATCTTTTAAATTATTGTAACAAAACAACATATTTTCAACATAATTATAAATTATGCATTTTGTTTACATGTCAAAATTTAATAATAATATTTACTAATAAGCATCTACTATTTCATAGCTTCCATGTTATATGTTTCATATACTTCAATTCTTTTTATAGTCCCTACACCCTTACAGATAAGGTATCATTATATCTGCTTCATATATGGAAAAACAAACCAGGAACAAAAGGATTAAGTAATTTTTCCATCATCACACAGAAATAAATGATGCCTCTGAAATTCAAAATACACCTTCTTGACCTCAGAGTGTGACAATGGTGGATAAATCTGAGCAACAAACTTAAAGGGGACAGGGGCAGAGATCTAAGCTGAGGTTACATAGCTACTATTTAGGGTCAGATGAATACTGCTTTAGTTTAAAAGTGGATCAGCTAAAGCAAGAAGTTGGATACATATCCCCTGAATGATTCCCCTACAGAAAGAGTGTTCTCATTAAGTGTGATACAACAAAGTGGCTAAAATAGTGATCAAAACATGATGCAAACCCTCTTTTTCTTTGCTTTTAATGAAATAAAAAGAGGTAATTTCAACTCACTATTAACTAATATATACACCTAGAAAAATTGCATCTGTCCAAAGTTATAAACAATAAGCAAAACTACCAATTGCAACTGCTGTTCACATCCAATACCTCAGCTCCACACCTCCTTATAAATCAACCCTGACCTCATGGCCAACTATAACACCTCCCTATTCACCACCATACGCCTGGATGGCACCCAGAATTGACAGGGATTTAAAACACAGCAATTGTTTAGTAGATGAGTATTGATGAGTAATCAAAAATATGAATAAAAAGTATCAGAATGTTAGGGATATGGGGACAGAGCTAGGTATCAGATATGAGGGAAAGCTCAGTGGACACCAGAATGTTTTAGTGGGATGTTATTTGGGTATATGGAATTCAGCAGTGGCTGCTTTGGGACAGTAAGGCAAAAGTACCAGAAAAATATTTCTTCGTGGTGAAGTAACTAGGTGTGCTTGAGCAGATTAATGGTTGCTTAAGGGAAACATTTTGTCTGTAAAGAAAAATGCTGCTCTTGGGGCGCCTGGGTAGCTCAGTCGTTGGGCATCTGCCTTCAGCTTGGGTCATGGTCCCGGAGTCCTGGGGTCAAGCCCCGCATCGGGCTCCCTTCTCCACGAGAGACCTGCTTCTCCCTCTCCCACTCCCCCTGCTTGTCTTCCCTCTCTTGCTGTGTCTCTCTCTGTCAAATAAGTAAATAAATCTTACCAAAAAAAAAAAAAAAGAAAAATGCTGCTTTCACCACCACTGCTTCATTTTGATTCCTGAGGAGAAAATTCATATGAAAGAAAGAAATGGTATGTGCCCAAAAACTACAGCATGATTTTAAATGCTCTGTAAGAATATAGGATTTGGAATTATGCATTGAATCTATGAGCCATGTAACCATAGGCAAATTATTTGGCATTTCTAAGGCTCTTTTATGTGTTTGGTACATTTGGCATAAAATGAGTTTGGCAGCAACTATAATAAGGTACTGAGAAGAGTGCTTGGCACAAAGTCAACTAATGGTTATGATAGGAATATCATTGTTACTATTTTTAGGCTATACTGATTTTTCAAATGGTACTTAGGTTAACTTTAATGAATTACAATAAAATAAAGAAGCACAAATAAAAGGCCCATTAACTCTTTCCAATATCATTGGAAAATCAGATACAGGATAAAATATATTTTTGAATTTTGGTTAGGGAATTTCTGATCCCTTAACCAGAAAAAAAAAGGGGGAAATCCTCTTTGTGCAAATTGCTTCCTGGTTCCTGGAGTCAGAGTGAAAATCAACATAATACGTCTATCTAGCTACCTAGTCAATGCCTCTACCTAGCTAAAAGGCCCCTGATACTTACTATGTCTAAAACTCTGTTTCCAGGGCGCCTGGGTGGCTCAGTTGGTTAAGCGACTGCCTTCGGCTTGGGTCATGATCCTGGAGTCCAGGGATCGAGTCCCACATCAGGGTCCCTGCTCAGCAGGGAGTCTGTCTCTCCCTCTGACCTTCCTCCCTCTCATGCTCTCTGTCTCTCATTCTCTCTCTCGCAAATAAATAAAAAAAAAATAAATAAATAAAAAATAAAACTCTGTTTCCTTCCTCCACACTACACATCTCCAGGTTTCTTCTTCTTAGAATGGCACAAACAGTTTTTTAGTTGTTCAAGCAAAAAACCCCCGAAAAACCAAAAAAGCAAAACAAACAAAAGACTGTGACTCATCCTTGACTCTTCTCTCACTGTCTACCTCCAATACATTAGAAATAAAATGTTGGCAGCATATTTGAAGTACATCCAGGATAAAGGTATTTGTTACAAGCAGCTGTTTTGTGAACAAAAAAACTTATTCCAACCCAACATGATCTCCACCACAACTTGAAATACTCTCTTAGCTGGTGTCTCCACTTCTAAAATTGCATGTCTACTTATCATGGCCTTCTACCCACAGTTTTACAGCTAGAATGCTGACTCTTTTTAAGACATACATCATATCACATCATTATTATGTTCTAAATCCTTCAGGACCTTCAAATTCTACTTAGAATAAAACTCGAAGTCCCTACTCTGGCCCATACATAACCTACCCCACTATCATATTGTCCACTAGTAATCTCTCTGTCTTTCATATCACAAATTTTGTTCTTCCTTGAACATGACAAGCATCCTTCCCCTTCAAGTCTGTTTTACCTACTGTTCCTTCTATTGGGGCAACTTCCCCCAGGGATCTTTATGGTTCATTCCTTCATTTCATTCTGGTACTATTCAAATGCACATCCTTGTCTGTCATATGTAAAACAGTACTTTTCCATAACTATCTATAACCTTTTTGTTACATTGTTCTCCATGCAACACTTCTATACAATTATTCATTTACCCACTTATCACTTCTATACAATTACACATTTGTCTGAGCATTCTCTTGCTTTTTATTTTCTGTCCCACTAGATCCCCCACTAGGATGTAAGCCCCATTAGAGGTTATACTTTGTTATTTACTGTTACATCTCAAACATCTAGAACATTGCCTGGTGCATAGTTAGTACTCAATATGTTTTTGTTGAAAGATTGATCAAGTGAATGAATATTTTATATCTGTGTGTTAATATCCATGCCCTTAATATTAATAATTTATATTAATGGTTTAATCAATAATTGAATATTATAACATTAAATATTTAATTTACTATTAATATTTTAGTTCTTTAAAATTAAAAATAAATTCTATTAAACAAGCTAATGATTTAATACTTCATAATTTAATATTAATAATTTAATATTCATATACTAAATATTTCAAAATGTTAAATTCATCTAAGAGGCAGCAACCTCAGAACTCAAGGTCCTACAGCAGTTGCTGGAAGATATCCATTTTGACACAGTTTCTTTCTTGGATGTTCAGTAAAACTATTTTTGGGGTCATGAAGCCACTCTAAATTACCAGTATTCACTTCAAGATCTCACTGAAATCTGGACACCAACTTTTGCTATACTTGTGATAGAAAACTCTTATTTTTTTTTTCACTAAGAAGCAAGTGAAAATATAAGCTCTATATCTTTCAGTTGTTTCTCAAAATACAAAAGAAAAGAAGAGGTGTTAAAAGACAGTCTCAGAAAGACAAACTTTCTTTTCATGAGGATTACTTTTTTTTTTAAGATTTTATTTATTTATTTGAGAGAGAAAGAAAGAGAGAGAGAAAGAGCATGAGCTGGGGTTGGGGGTGGTGCGGAAGGGAGAAGCAGACTCCCCACTGAGCAGGGAGCCTGATGCGGGGCTTGATCTCAGGACCCCGGGATCATGAGCTGAGCCATAGGAGGATGCTTAACCAACTGAGCCACCCAGGCACCCCTCTTTACATTAGGATTACTTTTAATGAGAAAATACAACTCCTCAGAACTGTGCATTTTGACTTTGAGTCTCTAAAGCTGAGTTAAAATGTCTAATGTTTACATATTTTTCATAAATACAAATGAGATATTAATTCAAATTACAAGCAGTTTTATGGTTGATTGTGTTTAATATTATTATTAAAGGAGCGGTCTGATAGTGATCAAAGTTTGGGACAATACTAATAACATGAAGATATGTTTAATGTCACAGTTAATATTTCATTATTTGTGTAAACGATATATATATTTTTTAAGATTTTATTTATTTATTTATTTGAGAGAGAGAGAGCAGGAGAGTGGGGAGGGTCTGAGGGAGAAGCAGACTCCCTAACGAGCAGGGAGCCCGATGCGGGACTCGATCCCCGGACTCCAGGATCATGACCTGAGCTGAAGGCAGTCGCCCAACCAACTGAGCCACCCAGGCGCCCTGTGTAAATGATATTTTTAATGTGCAAAGTCCCACTTAATTATATTTCTTTTCTTTTTTTTAAATTTTATTTTATTATGT